TTTATACAACTTTTCAGTAAAATCAGACGTTTTGATTGGTTGGCTTTCGTGTGTTATCAAAGTATAGATACACGGATTACGTCAAAACTAATTGTTTGTTGTATAAAACAGATAGATCTCATTTTTCCGTGCGTGTGTACTCTAATAGATACACAGATGACGTCAAAATGTAGTGAGAACAAAAAAGTACGCACGAGACGCAGTCGAGTGCGTGACTGTTGTTCTCACTACATTTTGACGTCATCTGTGTATCTATTAGAGTACACACGCACGGAAAAATGAGATCTATCTGTTTTATACAACAAACAATTAGTTTTGACGTAATCCGTGTATCTATACTTTGATAACACACGAAAGCCAACCAATCAAAACGTCTGATTTTACTGAAAAGTTGTATAATGTGGAATAACCTCTGAAATACTTACCTGTTCAGCTACTCTAGGTTCACCTGGGACAAGACCCCCTGCACCGCCGCCAAATCTCGATAGAAGAGGATCAGATGTAAGATTTAGATTTTATGACAAAATGAGTATAACACCTTGATACGTAACACTCTGTGATACCTGTAATATCATTACATATGCAAATTAGATGCGTGAATAGTGTAGAATAGTTATATTGCACTATTGAAAATTTGGCAAGTTTGTTTCGATAGGTAATGTCAAGACGCCATTTTGTACAGCAAAGCATGATGGGATATGTTGTACTTGACCTTAGCGCCCGAAAAATCTTTCAAAAAATCTTATGTTTTTATGCTTTCTTTGTAAAGACAGCATAGTGACTTCGCTTCTTTTTTTGCAAAGAATAGGGCTTGATTTAAATAATAATTTACTGCTAGAGTTCTTGATATCATGAGGTAGAATGTTCCAGAGTTTAGGGGCAGCAATTGAGAAAACTATGTCACCAAAGTTAACAGTATTTGATTTTGGTACAGTATTCAGATTTATGATTGATATTTTCAGACCAGTACACGACCACCACCGCCATTTCCAGGAGCTTCTCGTCAGGGAATACCCACTCCATTTGCAATGGCAGTTAAGGAAGAAGGTAAGCGCGTCAGGGGCATGGACTCCTTAAAATTGGGGCCTGGTATAGTCCTTATTAATACGACCCGCGGAAAGCTTTGTGACGCAATGCATTTTGGGATTGAAAATGAGTAAACACGGGAGCAACGATGTCAGTGCTTTAGTTATCTGTGATGCAGACTCCGCAGACTGGGAAATATTGACATTGTAAGCATACTGCAAAAAAAAACAAAAAAAACAAAAAAAAAACAAGCAAATATCAACAAGCAATAGGAAATACAGTAAGAAAAACCTCCAAAAAAATGTACAGTTCATCGAGAATTTCCATTTACTAGGCAAATCAAGCAAAAATGAAAAACATACTTTGTTGGTGAAAAAAATCGAAACTAATTAGTGTTTTTTACGATTTTAGTGATTTGTTTTGATGAAAAAAGGGAGATTTATATATCCCATGAAACATTGCAAACCGATTCAAAATGGCGGGCTTGTAATATGGACTGTGGTAGGGTCGTATCCAGGAATTGGATTTGTCATTGGGAGGTGGCAATTTATAAGAAATCGTCACAATGACGTCAAGAATAGCGATACTTAATGTTAATCAACAATCCCATTCTTATGATAACGTGCCAACCATGATCAGAATGGCTTTTCACAAGTCACTTGTTCTAACATCCAATCGTCTTCTGTTTGGCACATGAATAACAAAGGCTTACGTCACATTGAGTATCGCTTTATTGTCCCCCCCTCCCCTCCCCCACCAAAAAATAAAAAGGAAATAGAATAAAATGAAGAGTTCAGCGTCACACATCAACTGCCATATTTCTTTTTTAAAGTGGGCAGGG